ATTTAAGCCTGTGGAAATGTCTGCACATAGACATACTTTGCCATTGGCCTTTTTGACAATATCCATGGGAGCTGCCCACAAGGAGTAATTTGTCGGTTGGATTACTCTTGCTTATTGAAAGCAGTCTAATTTTTTTAATACTTGGGCTAGTACCGCACATGGCACAGGATGCTTTTGTCTAATAACTGGTTTGGCATCCGGCTTCAGTTTAAGGGTAGCCTTCACCTTAGTACAGCATCCAAAACTTTTCTGGAACCTTTACTGAACTTGGTTTAGAGTATGTCGGAAATACTCTCAATTTCTGCAGCATAATTTGAAATGAATTAAACTCAGATTTTAGAGAATGATTGAAATGGTCCAGTTCTTCAATAAAATTCAATCCAAGAATCAGTGATATAGCACATTTCTGAATACAGTTTCTTTTGAAAGAGACATTTCCCAAATCAACTAGCATGGTGAAGCTGTATCCTTACTTTTACACATTTTATTCACTATTGGTAAACAATAGATGTAAACATGGCCAGTGTCTATGAGGGAATGCCCAACAGCCATTATAAAAATCTTTTTCCTTTGTTGGAGAGTTCAGATTAAGAGGCATAACTTGATTTCCATCTAGGGAGCAAGTTAACTCCCTTGGTGATGACCTCTGCCCTAACAAATAAGGATATAACTTCACCATGCTAGTTGTTACTGGTGTAGTTTCTGTAGCAAGTAGTACTTTTATGTGGTGGAGTTACCAGCCTTATCCACTCTTTAAGTCAGAATTTCTCTCCATGACTGGTTGCAAAACAAGGCTAGTCAGCTTTGTTATTTAAGCCATAGTTGAGGAGAGAGAAGATGAATTCCTAGCCTTCCCAGCAGTATTTGTGCAATGCAATGAACTTAGAATGTGAACTTGGTACATCAATAATCACTATGCTATGTACACGCCCACATAGTATAAGACTGTTACATGCTAAAATCAAAACTTGAAGAACATTGGAAATCAATAAAGATATTTAAAAATCAAGTATAGCTGATCATGTGTTGGGGAATAATGAACCACATCAACGTTAATGATTAGAAGTAACAGTGATAAATAAGAATGTTGAAGCAATATATATATATATATATATATATATATATATATTTTATATGTATACATAAAATCTCCCTTTGGTTGAAACGAGGTTACACGACAGCCGATTAGTGACATCACTTCATAGACTGATGAAAATGGCTAGTCAGTCAGCTTACTGGAGTGAAATTGAGTAGTCATTTTTTTTTTTTGTTTTTTTTTTTTTAGCTTGGGCTTCTCAGTCCAGGCTAAATCTACCTCCCACATAATACATGTCAAGCCCATGGCAACATTTTTCTATGGAAAGCTCCAGCTTACAGACCTCAATTTGGAGAAAAAAAAAAAAAAAAACTCAGGATTTACCATTTTTCTTGCTAGTAACATGGCAGTTAAATGCGACCTGTTTGAATTTGGAATCCTAAATATGGCTTCTCTAGAAACACAGATTACTCCAGCTTCTCCAATTCCAATTGGGAATTATTACAAATAACTCTTTTTTATCCCCTTTCACTCTGCTTGTTGAATACATGTTATAGTTTTTCTGTGTAAGATAAATGTAAATATGTATATATTATATTGTGTATGACTTGGCGGCATAAAACTCTGAGAACAAAGGATGTTTGTCATTTCTTTCCTTCAGCTATTCCAATCCATCTATAAAATAAGATATATCATCATGGATATAATAATGCCCATAATGAGGAAGATATTCCTTTCTTCCATTGTTACTCATTAGATGGTGACTTACTGAACAGGTTATGATATTATTAGTACTTTATTAACTGGTCACTGACATTTATCCCCATTAACTGATGATCACGATGCAATATTATTTAACCATGATATGTTAAAAACAATAAACTGAGCACATAAATTAAAAAGCACATGAGAAGCAAGACAAAGAAAATATCCACTTAGAGCAATGGGGATGTGAGGACCATAGGAATAGGATTCCTGTAACTTTGTGGAAATATACCATTTAGGAGATATTGATAATAGTGGGATTTTATTTGTGCACTGGGTTAGGCCTTGTTTATGTGCGTTGATCACTGTGTGCTGAACTGAAACAAGGAGGTAATTGAGGAGGCCAGTGCACAGTAATCTAGTTCCATAAGGGTGACCATACCTGTAACTAGATATAATATTTGGGGAGGGAGATGCACAAAAGTATCCCAACAAAAAGCATGCATACCATTCCCCATCAAAACAAAATTTCTATTTGACATTTCAAATTACAAAAAAAGTTGAAGAGTCAAGAGGTCCAGACAAAATATGAATTTACAATAAAATAAGTTTGTACCACCAAAATGGATGATTCCCCCGCCCCATCAAATGAAAGAAAATTGCAGCCTGTATTTTTAATAATTTACCCAGAATCAGAGAATTATCAAACAAAATTTGCAGTACTGAATAAATTGTAATTTGGTAGATGTTTGCACAAAATGTTTTTCTGTCGATATAAAAAGTTATTTCAGTAACAATTATTATGCAATAACAAGTGTGATCATATGGAAAATTCCTTCTGAACCTTACCAAAAATAATTTTGATAAAACTAAAAAAACTTTTTTTGAGAGTTGGTGCTTGCATAATTTAATAAAAGTTATTTTCCTTCAGATTGAACTGAATATTTCTTTTTACTTGTAATTCTTCAGTGTGACTTTCAAATTTATCTCCTTACTATATCCATGGCTAGAGTTTGGTTTCTTTCCTTAAAAAGATCTGTTTGAAGTATTGAAAAATATAAAGTTTTATGACATTTTCAAGTGTAAACATTTTAACAAGAATTATTTTAAAATTTATTTTTCATTTTTACAACAGTTTGATAATTTTTGCATGGAAGTTCAAAAAAGAAATATTTTCGTGACTATAATCCATTAGCAGTAAGCATTAACTGTAAGTAAAACAAAATAGAAGATAAAAAGTGTACTAGGAAGAGGTGGTGGTGGCAAAAAAAGTTTACTCAAATTAACATTTTTTTTATAGTTTGTCAACCCCACACCTAGCTATAGGACTGGGTAAAATTGCAGATTAGGACCCAGAAAGACAAAGCATCATTTCAGGTGTAAAAAAGCCTGAATAATCCAAAAACAGCATTAAAAATTTGTGGAAACCTACCATTTAGGAGATTTCAACAATCTTAGTTGGGCCTTATTTGTGCGCTGACCTCAGTGGATGCTCGAAAGTTAGGCCTTGTTTAAGTGCCTTGATTGCTGTGTGCTGACCTGGATCGTGGAGGCCAGGTGTACTGTAATCTAGTTCCGTAAGAGTGGCCATAGTTTACTCGGGCGGGACCCAACTAAGATTGTGCTAGAATTCCGAAATTTTTTTTTTCTGTTATGTTTTTGAATAATCAGGCTTTTTTTCTTAAAAAAAAAAAACAAAAAAAAACAGAAATTTATTAAAATTGATCACTGAACAGTTACCTGCAAATCTTTTCGCGCAGTAATCAAAGCTAGTAAATGTTGGCTGGGCTGTAGCAAAGACACAAATAAGACCCAACTAGGATTGCTGATATCTCGTAAATGGTAGGTTTCCGCAAATTTTTAATGCTGTTTTTGGATTATTCAGGCTTTTCTTTTTTATACACCAAAAAATGATGCTTTATTTTTAAATTGGTTTCTGGATCCCAATCTGCAATTTTACCTAGGACTGGTGTCTTATAGCCTTGGTTGGCAACCAGCCTACCGCTAAAACGGCAAACTACTGCGGGAATCAATCAAGAATGGAAAAAGAGAATTTCCCACATGTGTATCATGCATGGCACCTAAGGAAGGAAGAGGGCATTTTTAAACAGGAGATATATTTTCATAGACACCGTTTATCCGGTGGAGAAGAGGTATAACGGTACCAACCCCCCAAAAAGTCTCAGATATGCGTTTTTTAGTTAGTTTTATAAAAAAAAAAAAAAAATTAAATTTTCGTTTTTACAAGCCTTGATAATTTTTGTGTAACAGGAGCATTCGGACTTTTTAAACATTTGAGAAAAAAAACTAAAGAAATGTCTTTAAAAACTACAAAAATCAAAAGTCAAAACTAAAATTGCCAGGTTTTAGTATTTTTTCTCAAGAAAAAAAAAATAAATTTAAAAAAATGTTTTCTTTAAATTAAAATGGCTAGTTAGTTTTACTTTTATGAAAAGTTGTCGATAAAGAAGCAATTATTAAATAAGAATTAATTTATTTCTTGTAAGAAAACTGGCTTCCGTTTGAAAAAAAAAAAAAAAAAGAAATAAAAAAAAAAACGTTTGAGTTACAAGAAAAAAAAATTACCATTTATAAAATTTTTAATTGAAAGTGAAAAAGATTGTTTCGGGAATTTTACTAAGAGAAAAATAAAACAAATGAAAAGAGGAAGAGAGTTTATTTTACCAAGAATTATTTTTATACGTAATAATTTCTAGATGGAAAAAAAAATTAGACACCAAAATTTTAATCACCAAATCAATTACTGAGCCAACCAACCATTTTAAAAAAAAGAAGAGATTTCGACTAAGTTTTTAAGCAAATTATGAATAAAACAAAAACATTAATAAAAATCTTAATATTTGATTTTTAACTTTATTCTTTTTAAATGATTTCTTATGTAACAACACTCAAAATTCAGTGTTAAAGGAATTATTGAGTTGAGTGACTCAATCAATATTTAATTTACTTCTAAAAATGTCATACGACCTGGACCAAGTGATTGGCTTGCATAATAGATAAATAAATTTCATATTTGTTAAGAAGAAGAAACACATAAATTATTTTCAAACATAAATAAAACACAAAAGAATTTATAAAAAAAACAAAAACCTATCCCCCCCCAATGTTCAGTGGCTGTTTTGTTTTTAGCAAAGCAAGCAATTGCGTTAAAAACAAAACATGTTTTATATTCTAAATGGAATTTTAAACATCAACAGAGATTAAATAAAAGCATTATTTTAAAGAAGGTAACACTTACTTGTCTTTTTTTAGTTTGGGTTGCGTAGCAAGGAAATTCCTGGTATGTGATGTTTGGTATTTATACCCGGCCTTGGACGGTCGTACATAATGGAGAACTCGACATGTGGACCGGAGAGCAACTGTGGCGAAGCGAGGAACCAATACAGTCATCATGGACATTATTATTGAGTTTCTTTTAGGTGTCTTCTAAATCGAAAAACCAATAAAAGTATTCACAAGATAAAATCCAGGAACAATTTTTTTTTAGGGGTCTCTGAATTTTTTTTGTTGGGCCTGATTTAAACAGTAGTGAGGACGGACTTGGAGGTGAAAGGTAAAAAAACAAAAATGAAGGTGAACCTAAGCAAAGTGAGAAGAAAAGAAACCAACTTCCTTCCACTTGTTAAAAAATAAGGGAATCAATCAATTAATTAATACTCTGATTGCAAAAGTTTGAATTGATAAGCGCAGTAAAAAATAATAAGTTAAATAAAACTATTTTTTTATGTTTATGAATCGAATATGACGGATTCACCTTTTTTTTTTTTTATTTCAAACGTCTCTCCTTAATGATGATTAAAATTTTTGAATGTTAAAAAATCCATAGAAGTTCATAAGTTCAATTCCTAAAAATTGTTAATTAAAAAAAGATTTTTTTAAATAAATGTTTTCTTTTTTGACTTTCCGGGAGTCAATCTTTAAAACAAGTCTCTTCTTGTCTTATACTTGTTTGTTTTGTCTCTTTTTTATTTTATTTTATTTTATTTATTTATTTTTTTTCACTTCGGTAATTGTGAATTAATTTCTACGTTGTTTTCTAAGCCAGCTCAAGAGTGTCCTTGTTTGACAATCAATATACATATACAAAAACTTAGATTAGAGAAAAACTAATTTTTTTTTTCTTCGAGGAAACAAAAAGCACAAAACACGGACAGCAACTCAAACTCTTTATGACCGGTGCCCCTTTATAAAGAAACACTTTTTTTTTTTTTTTTTTACTTCTTGAAAAAAAAAAAAAAAAAGGCAGATTTTGGTTCCTTTTCCGTCCTCCCTCTTCGCTCCGGGGATTGGTAAAAAACAAACAAACCCTTCGTGGGTAGGTTGACAAGGAAGAATGACACATACAAGAGAACGAAGAAAAAAGTTGGCGGAGGCTGTACTATTTGACGTCATACAATTTTCCGACAATCCAATTCATCGTTACGCTGTGTCTTTCTCTTTCTCTTTATTTCTTTCTCGTTTTCTCTCTATAAAAACAGTGGAGAATTTACGTCACTCTAAAAAAGGTTACTTTTTTTTATCTTTTTTTTTTCCCCTCGGCTGTTATTGCATATTTTTCGATTTTTAAGTCCTGTTAAATTGCGATTTTATAACTCGAAATAAAATTAGAGTTTAATAATTATTATTATTTTTTTTTTTTGCGACGAAATCCCGTTTTTTTGGTTAATAAAAGTTACAAATAAATAAATTATGGAAAAATTAAGAAAATAAAATTTTGCTGCATATTGATAAAGAAATCATACGTTAGTATTCCAGAAGAATTGGAATATAGCTTTTTGCTCACTTGGGTTTTTTCTTTGGACTAAAAAAACTTAAGGCACTGGACGATTTGTTTCGCCCTGTTCAGATGTTTCAAATCTAGATCTTTCTTTTTTCCCTCAGGTATCAATTTGTTTTCATAGATTTACAAGTTGTGCTATCTGAGTTTTTTTCCAACCTAGTATTACTAGTGTGTGTATTCGAAAATTATAACATTTAAATATGTTATAAAATAATAATCATCCCTACCCTTGCTAAGGAAAAGTACTGTAAAACGCTGGAAATAAGCTGCAATGACCAATCAAAATACAACACTAACACTTACTCACTGTTAGTCTAACTGTTTAACAGTAACAGCGTTTCCCCTAGAGAGGGATGGTTGATTGATTTGAACCTTCTCTAAAACCCTTTAAAAGTGAACACTGAACTCAACACTCAGAGCGGACAGGCTGCTTCATGCTAGCATGGATGGTTGATTGATTTGAACCTTCTAAAACCCTTTAAAAGTGAACACACACTGAACTCAACACTCAGAGGCTTCATGCTAGCATGAAACAGCCTGTCGCCTCTGAGTGTTCAATGTTCACTTTTATATTTACACACGCTCTATATCTGATATTGAGCACATTATCCTATATAGCACACTTTAGTTTAAAACTATATTTCTGCATAATTTCTGTATGTATTAAATTAATATTATATTATTTATAATATTATATGCGCGGTACATATTGGAAATCGCTCAATATCAGTGATAAAAAAAACATACTTCGTTGTATTGGTGTAAGTTTGTAATCCTGGGTTTCACGCCCTTGCGATCGTCAGACAATTTATATTTTTTTATATATATATATATCAACAAACACTACGGTATTTAGAAAAATGATAGGACAAATTGAAAAAAAGTTTTTTTAACATATAAAACGCGTTACCAAAAACTTTTTTTTTCCAATTTGTCATATTGCCAGAAGTTCAGAAGTTTGTCCGTGAATATGAGAGGATCCTATTGAAAATAAGTAAACAAAACTTGTCTAAATTATTCAGTGAGACATGTCTTATATGATTAGAAAAAAGAGTCCACGGGTGCATCATGTGTAGTTTATAAAGTAGAGTAGATAAGTTGGTCAGTAAAACAAAAAGTCAAACGAAAGGGTACCGACCGATGTAATCAGTATGAAGAAAAACATGTTAACCAGGTGACAAAAATGAAGCATGGAGATGAGGTTCCAAGTTCGGAATTTTCGAACCCGCCTGTGTTCTTCATCAGTGGATGCGAGAAATAAAGAGAGGAAAGTGGAGACTACCCGACATTGGTTTTTGAGGCTGGGTAAGAGACGTGACCACCGATAGAGAAGGCCTGTTTCATAAGGAGAAATGTGACATCATATTGCGTCCGACTTTCAAGAAGCGTGTCTATTGTTTTTTGTATCAGATTTTTTACGGCGGCATTTTTAAATTGTTTTTTAATACTCTCTCTTATTGAATTAATTTAAAACAAAAACAATGCCTTATAGATGCGTTGTACCAAATTGCAAAGGGAAAATGGCCCTAAAGTACATGTATTTTCTTTCCCTAAAGATAAAGAATTCTGATGTTTGGATTCGGACAATCAGAAGAGATCATTTTTTACCTACTCTAAATTCAGCAGTGTAAGTATTTTTTGTATTAAAAAGTAAGTAAATTTTATTGAAACTTTAATGATAAAATTAATACCATGTCTTTGTAATTCATAAAATAAGACATAAATCTAGCGAGAAAGTTTAGTTAGACTCTAGTTTTAGATTTTAAAAGCAACACGTCTCTCTAGAGACATGTTGCTTTTAAAATCTAAAAACTCATTTTTTTAAGAAATAAACTTTAAAGAAATTTTCGACCTAAATTCATTCATGAATTCCTAAAGGAATATTTTATATGCATAAAAAATAATTCTAATAATTTTAACGATTTTTTAGAATTGTTTTATTCGTGACTGATTGAAACTTTTTAATTTCACAAAACATTTTAAAACGGTGTTGTTTTAAAAAGTTATTAAACGCAATTGAAACTTTGAGGATTAAAATTTAATAATTTCATATCTTTATAATTCACAAAACATTAAAAACAAAGTTGCGAAAGTTTTTAAAAGCTGAAATCTAAATTTTTATAAAAGATAAACTTTCGATATAAATTCATAAAGGAATCTCTTCATAGGCATAAAATAATTGAATTTTTTTTAGAATTATTATAATTTAACAATTTTTTAGAATTGTTTTATTCATTAGAATGTTTTTTTTTATTTATCATTTTAAATTAAAAAAATGAATAAACGTTAAAAATTCTTTTATTTGTACATAGCTTCGTCACTAATAATCTTTTGTTGAATTCTCTCCACTTTTGCTAAAATTGTTAAATGCTTCATATTATTACTGTAGATTTTTACTGATTGATTTCCTTAGATTTTCACAAGAATTTAAAATAGGTTTGGTTTTTAAAATCTTTTTATGAACTACATTTTCGACCAGAGGACATAAGGAGAGAATCGTCAGCTTTTGACAAAAAAAAAAAAAAACAGGTGCCACAATTGCAGTTAAACTAAAAAAATATATATCTTCGTGATGGTGCTATTCCTAGAATTTTTCCAAACTGTCCCTCATATTTATCTTCATTGAATACTTCTAGAGAGTCACCAGACTCTAGGAGAATCCGACTAGAGAATTCTTCTCTTAAAAGTGCTTTAAATCAAAGTATTAACGATGACTTAGCATATAAAATGCAGAAGAAATTCCATAATGTTAATGATCTAGAAGGGAAATTAAATTTCCTTGATAGAAATTACTGGAGTTTTGTTAGGCAGCAAGAGACACTTATATTCAGCATCATCAAATCCCCATATCAAAAAATCAAACTCTCTTGGAATTGAATCTGATTTTGCAGTACATGTGTTTTATAGAGATGTGGAAATGCATTCAATAGGGGACTATAAGATTCCTAAACATGTAACCGATCAAAATACCCTTGAAATTCTGATAGAAAACATGGAGAAAATGGACACAGAACAACAGCAAACTGAACCACAAAATATGATTTTTATATTAAAATTGGTAATGTCATTTCTATTATTGGTGCAAGAAGAATCAAACAAACATTTTAATACAATTAAATTTATATATGAGCAGCTAAATTTAATGACACAAAATAAGCTTTATTATTCAATAGAAATGATTATATTTTCTTCATTGTTATATAACTGCTCCCCCTAAAGGGTACAGATTGTTAAGAGACAGCAAAAATATAATTTTACTTAGCTATTCAACCATTAAAAGACTAACATTATCAACATATATGAATCCTTTGATTGAGCAACATAATAACAATTTTCTTATGTATATTAAAAATAAATTTAAGCTCCTAGTGCAGAAGGACATCACAGTATCTTTACTTGTTGATGAAATTCATCTAAAACCTTATTTAGATTATAAGGCTGGTAATATTGTTGGCTTATCTGACAACAGCAGTGAAGCTGCAACAAGTGCTTTTGCTTTCATGATTAACAGTGTATTCTCACAATATAAAGATGTTGTGCATGTTATGCCAACTAAATGTCTTAAAGCTGAGAAGTTATTTGACATAGTTAAACACATAATAATTGGTTTAGAGGTGAT